CATGTGCTCTGAAGGAAAGGAACACCCGTGCCATTCCTTCAGGGCTGTGTGCTATGGACCAGGACTCATCCCGGTTTTGCTTCCTTTGTGTAAAATCCCCAGTGTTCCTACCAGTCCCTCTGCTTTCCTATTAAAAACTGACCACGCTAAGCATGAGAGCACAGCGTGGTCAGTTCTCTAGCTATGCTGGGAACTTTGTGTGCTCTCCTCCAATGATCAGACTTGTCCTGACACGCCGCATTGGCACAAGCACTCACTAAGAAGTTCATTGTGATGATGTTTTTCCTCCCCCAGCTCTTATGCAGGTGAGAACAGAGGAGATGTGATCAAATATAAAAAAAGAGAAAAAAAAAAAAGGTATTTATCATGTTTTTCTTTTTTTAAATACACAAAATATTTTGCCTTTCATTTCTATTTTAAACTGAATGGGATGTTTTACAAGGTGAGGGTTTACAGTCACTTTATCAGAAGTCGTTTTTTGCGACGTTATGAAGCACTAGTCTTTATCAATTCTTAAATATTGGTCTGTTGGTAGGGGATCCCAATATCATCCACTGCTCAAGCCCTAAAAAAGGGAAGGCTTTATTTGACCAGAAATGAGGTGACTGTATTCGATGCCTTTAGTTTGTACATTTGTACCAGATGCTCTTCAGTACACATAGTTAGTCTGGCTGAAAAAAGACAAAAGTCCATCCCGTTAAACCATTAAAAAAAAAAAGTTATAATCCTATAACCACATCCAGACGAAGGCAAAAAAAAAACCCAGCAAATCATGATCCAATTTGCTCCTGCTGGGAAAAAAATTCCTTCCTGATCTCCCAAGAGGCAATCAGATATTCCCTGGATCAACGTTACCTATAAATGTTATTATCCAGTTATATTCTGTGTATCTAGGAAAGAATCCAGGCCTTTTTTAAAGAAATCCACTGAGCTGGCCAGAACCAACTCTTGAGGGAGTCTATTCCACATTTTCACAGTTCTCACTGTGAAGAAACCTTTCCGTGTTTGGAGATTAAATTTATTTTCCTCCAGACATGCAAGTCATGCCTTTGCTGTGGTCAGATTATTAGCAGCATAGGACCAGGGCAAGGCCCATATACAGTATACGTCCTCCACAGTACATCCATTAGAACCATTTCTCACTTTTATCAGTCCAATGCTAGTACAGAAACACATCACCCCTGATGAAGGGGGTCCCTGTAACCCCTGAAAAGCATTGATATATCAGTGGAGTGAGACTTTTCTCTTCCAAATCACAAAGCACATTTCTTCAAGGACTGCTTTAAGGGTCATTGGGACTAAACAATCTGCCCACTGGACTGTGTGTTCCGGATGTGGTTTTTGCTTACAGTTCACACCACACGCAGTTCCGTGCAGTTTTGATGCAGTTTGCTGTGTTCCAGTATGGTTCTGTGCAGAAAAAAAAGCAGCATGTTTTACTTTTTTTTCTGCACCGAAAACTGACTGGAACTGACTGTACTGGTGTGAACTAGGACCATTGGAATACATGGAAAACACTGTGTATGCATTTTTCATGCAGAAAAAAACTGCACTGGACTGCATCTAGTGTGAAACCACCCGTAAGAGAAACAAAGGTTTTTCTATAGTTTCCCTTGTCAATGAAGCAGCGTTCTAGTTGGCTACGGTGCACCCACGTGACCCTCGGCTACCATCTTGGCTCAGCAGGGTCTATTTAAGTCCCTCCCCCAGATTTTGGCACACTGGTGCGTGGCTAGCGTGGGGAGAGAGACCCTGGTTTTTAGGAAAAGTAACTAGCGATAGGGAAAGGTTCCTGGCGGGGAGAAAAAGATTAGGGACTTGCTATCCTGGAAAGGAGTTTCCCCCCTTGGGACCAGACTGGCCAGGCCACACTTCACCCTCTGAAACAGACGCTGTCGGCACCTCTCATCCTACACTTCTGACTGATTGAACTGTGAGTTATTTCCCTAGTGGTGTTCTCACACCAGAGTGTCTGTAATGTTGGCATTCTTTTTAATACAAGTTTCACTGCAACCAGATGTAATATATTGTGTTCAACATATATTTTATATATTACACACAATATACTACTAATTTTAAGACAACACCAGACTCTGTGTATTTACTACCCACACCACGCACATAAGTAAGTTGGCTTCCTGAAAGAGTTGTTTTTACAGCAGTCAGTAAAGTGAGACCATCTCCCACGCAGTACAAATGTATCATAATCATTATAGTGATTATGTGATGTGGTGCATTTAATGTATATTTAAATCCAGTCTTTAAAAAAGATCACCAACAGGAAACCAGCCCTGGGAAAGACCATGCAGCCATCATTGGAGTCAGTACTGGGAGAGGTACATCCAGCGCCCAGGGCAAGGACGAGGAACTACACCCCCTCCCCTGCCCCTCTGCTAATGCAGTCTGTAGAATGGGTGTACCTCCCTGCTCCCCATGCTTCTTGGCCCCCTTGTTTTGGCTGCCCATTGTTGGCATGGGGTGTGCACTGCACATGTATGGCCAATTACTTGCTTTCTAGCAGCTAGTAGATAGTAGATTTTTTTCATGCCAGGTGTAGGGGGATGGGTGGAGAGTGAGCATGTTGGAGCCCCTTATGTGGTAGGGAGATGCTTCCCCCTCCTGCTGTGCTCAGGGCAGCTGCCCCTCCTGCCCACCCCTTGTCTTGACCCTGGCTGAAGTGCATGTAGGCAGGACGTGGCTTCATATAGGCTGCAGGAAATCAATAGCACTGAGATAAAAAGCAATAAAAAAAAGGTGAAAGGTAGTATAAAAAAATGGGAATTGTTTATGATGTACGGTTTTTAAGCAAACTAAATGTCATCCAGTTAGGGTTTACATCGACTTTAATTTGTTAGCAGCTATTTTCCATTTCAGTGCAGTCGCTGTAAATGAAATCGGGTTATTGTTTTCCTAAATATAGATGAATCCATATGTCTGTATGTACAATATATGAAGACTGCATTATAAACACATCCAGGACAGGGGAGAGGAGCAGCTGTTATGTAGGTTAATCCGCTTCCACAACACACAAAGCCTTAAAGACAAACTCCCAAGGCACAGCGTGTCATCAGTCAATTCAACTGTCACCAGTGCAAGTGAATTTTAGTGCTTTGCTGGAACTTTTGGGATCATGTTAACGATTGTACGTCACAGCGGATTACAGCTGATCTTGAACAGAAAGCTGTTAATTCACAGTACAGCCGCATTGATCTTTGCCTTAAACTTTGCAGAAGTTTATATAGTCTCAGTGGCACCTCCGTGGATTAAATGATTTTTTTTTTTCATATTGTGCGCAAAAAACAGACTTTAAATGCCAATTCACTTTTTCAGACAATTTCAGTTTGTTAGGACACAGAGTGTCAATAAATGCTTTCTTTCCATCACTTACTTATAAAGTGTTATTATTGAAATGTCAGCAAAATCATTTCCTTCCATTCAACTTTGAAAGGAAATTACCGATTTTAGAAGCAGACATGGGACTTTTCAAGGCAGTCTAGATTTCTGCAGCATCCCACCATACTGAGGGTGGTGAGACAAGCCATAGAAACTTGTGGCCGTCATCTCAATCCCAAACTAGGTGCATGTGCCTGGAGTTTGTGCAACATTTATAGGAGTGGCCTTGGCTCTGGGAAGCCAAACTTCTGGTGTTTGGTCTACACACCTGCTATGCCCGTTGTGAGGGGTTCCCCCAGCATCCCTGTCATGAGTCCCCAGGTCTACACACCTGCTGTACCTATTATGAGGGGTCCCCACCATCCCTACACTGAATTGCAAGGTCTCCACACCTTCTGTACCCAATATGAGGGGTTCCCACCATCCGGGCCCTGCATTTCCAGGTTTGTTCACTATCTGTACCTATTATGTGGGGACTCCAACCATTCTTGTTCTGAGTTCTCAGGTATGCTTTTATCTCTCAGGGACTCTATTGATTGAGATGCCTGCACTGAATTCCCAGGTCTTTACACATTCTGTGCTCATTATAAAGGGTTCTCACCAGTAATGTTCTGATTTCCTACGTCTGTACACCTGTTTTGCCCAAATATGAGGGACTTCCATCATCTCTGTGCCATGTTCCTGAGTCTGCACACCTGCTGTGCTCATTTTGGAGGGGTCCCTGCCATCCACGTGCTGAGTTCTGGGGTCCACAGTATTGATAGTGAGTAATTCCCACTATCCCTTTGCCTAGTTCCCAGACCTGCACATCTGCTGTACTCATTATGAGGGGCTTCCGCCATCCCTTCACAGAATTCCTAGGTCTGTACACCTGCTGTTCCCAATATGAGGGCCTTCTACCTTCCTCCATGGTTCCTGAGTCTGCAGGCCTGCTATGCCCATTATGAGGTCTTTTCACCATCCCTGTGTTGAGTTCCTGGGTCTGCACACCTGCTATTCCCATTATGGGAGGTCCCAACATCACACCTGGAGTTTATTTTATATATTGAGAATACAACAGGAGGAGTTGTGAACACAAACAGGTGGGTAGGAACACCCAAAACTCCTAGAAGTGAGTCAGGAATTATGGCAGAGAAGTCTCACTGCTGGAGTATCCAAGACAAACAAGAAGTCAGGGTTGACCTAATGATTATGTATACTTTTGGGTGAACTGGTCCTTGTGCCAACGTGATGTGAAAAGTGCAGCAACCAATTAGCATTTTTTTAAGGTTTTCACTTCTCTTAAATGATGAAAGTGTAAATATATAGGAGACCTACGCAAAATGTTTGCAATTGTAACTATTTAGTACTAAAGAAGCCATGCCATCAGAACTCTTCAGGCATGATTCGAAAGTTTGCACCTCAAAATATGGTCAGCTGGTTAATGAACAGTATCAACTGCATATTTACTTTCCTGTGGACATACTTTCTCAACCAAGGAAGTCTTAAAGCCCTTAGGTTCCTCAAGAGATTGTTAGGGGTTCCCTGAAATTTAGTAATTTCGGACTCTCAGATAAGTAATCACTGACACTAGTGGTCTTTTTAGCAATCTGTAAGGGGGGCTCTTCCCATTGACCACCAATGTAAAAGACATTCTTCCCACTGTCAAGCAATGTAAGGAATATTTGCCCCAATGACCACCACTGAAGAAACCTTCTTCCCACTGGCCACTAATGTAAGGGGCATTCTTTACCCTGACCTCCAATGTAAGAGCATTCTTTCCACTGTCTTTACCAATCTAAGAAGCATTCTTCACACTGACCACTGATGTTACGAGTGTTTTTCTCACTGACCACCAATGTAAGACGCTTTCTTCCCACTGACCTCCGATGTAAGGGGCATTCTTCCCACTGACCACCAATGTAAGAGACATTCTTCCCACTGGCCACCAATGTAAGGGAGTGTTCTTCGAACTGATCCCAATGTAAGATACATTCTTCCCATTGACCACCAAAGTAAGGGAGTGTTTCTTCCCACTAACCACCAGTGTAAAGAGTATTCTTCCCAATGACCACCAACGTAGGATGCATTCTTCACACTGACCACCGATGTAAGGAGTGTTCTTCCCACTGACCTCCGATGTAAGGGGCATTCTTCCCACTGACCGACAATGTAAGGGAGTGTTTCTTCCCACTGATCCCAATGTAAGATACATTCTTCCCATTGACCACCACAGTAAGGGAGTGTTCTTCCCACTGACCACCAGTGTAAGGAGTATTCTTCCCAATGACCAATGTAGGATGCATTCTTCACACTGACCACTGACCACCAAGAGCATTCATACCACTGACCACCAAGAGCATTCATACCATTGGCCACCAGCATAGCAGGACCCTTCTTCACCGACTACCAATATAATGTGGCACTACACTGACCACGTATTTAAAAGGCCACTTTACTGACCACGACTGACCATCGTAGTTAGTAAATATTTTCCCACTGACCACCAATGTGAGGGAACACACTGTTACCGCTGTCTGTGTTTATTTTCTTGCCATTCTTTTTACTATTTGTTTCATTTTACTGTTAATACTGAAAATAATTTTGTTGTATAGCATCTCCTAGATTGTAAACTCGAAAGAGCAGGGCCCTTGACCCCCTCGTGTTTTGTTTTGTTACTGTATTGTCTCATGTTCTGTCCCCCACTATAATATACAGCACTGAGCAAACCTTTTAGCGCTATATAAATACTGTATAATAATAATATAATAATAATATCCCTGTGTGTCAAATACGCAAAGTACATCACATTTCTTATTCTTTAAAATGTTCTTATATTTATACTTCTAAACTCAGTGTTCACACTAATATAACATACGTCATAGATATAGTAAATATTAGCAGGGGTTCCCTGAGACCTGAAAGTTATTTCAAGGGTTCCTCCATGCCAAATAAAAGGCTGAGAAAGGCTGCCTAGGGCTCTTCATGACTAATAATACCAATATTATAAAGAAGAGCAGTGCCGATAATAATTATGGATGTGATTGGTGACTGCGCCCTGTGTCTGGTGCTGAAGAAGTTAACGACAAGCGCACTTACTTTAATGCCTCGGTCACCCCGGCACCGATCCTGCGGGCTTTCTCTCTTCTCTCTCCCGGTTTCTTATAAATCCCAAGTTTGGGTGGGAGTCCTCCACACAGTCCCAGTGCCTTCCCGGTGCTCTTCCCTTCAGTACGACTCTAGTGGTCCGCTGTGAGGATGGAGCAGAGCTGTGTGCTCGTCTCTCCAATGCAAACTTCTTCTTGTTGTGTGATGGAGCCTCTGTCTCTCTCTCTCTCCTTCTCTCTCTCTCTCCCTGTTGGTGTGTGTGTGTGTTTACTGGTGTGTGCACAGAGCGGACTGTATAGAATGAGCAGGGACAGGGGACAAGTGTGACACGTAGACTGCATGAGCAATTGGACTCAGTGTCCTCTACATAGCTGACATTTAAAAAAATATTTAAAAAAAAAATAAAAAAATGAGACATTAAACCTATATTAATAAAATAGTAACTTTTTATGGTACAAAAGTTCAAAAAGCTCCAAAAAAACACAGAAAGTAAATCATCGTTGTCATCATCATCAACTTTCATCATAAACTTCAATTTTAATTGGATGGTAATCCAAACGGAAAAAGCTGAAGTTTAATCTGTTTATATTTTTTGCTTTCCATGGTTCCTCCCTCATCAACTTACTATTGGCTTTTTAAATAAAACCTTTCATTACATGCCTTTATTTTTTTTTATTATTACAGGTACTCATATAGTGCTCTCAATATAGCGCTGTGATGCCTAATGTTAGATCCGGTGATGTCATCACTAGGTCTCTGTACTTGTCTAAGCAATCTAGGCAGATCATGACTGATGGGAGGGGTTGGTAGGGTGCTGTAGATAGGTTTCTAAAAACATCACAGCACCTTGCTCAGAACTCCTCTCAAGAGCCCTCAGCCTTGATGTAAGCAGTGGGAGGTCTTGGGAGGAGTTATGCCAATAATAAAAATGTCTTGATGGGTGGATGTCTTGAGGTGTGGGCATTCCTAGCCAGGCTGTATTTGCAAGTCCACATGTGATGCTGAGCCTCCATGGCTGAAAAACTGAAATACACTGAATGAAAGAGGCAGGCCAGGGACAGTCGAGCTGAGGAAGAAAGACCTAGATGATGCTGGATGTCCTCCAGCCAGGAGATGACCCAGAGACCCCAAAACATCTTACCCAGGGCCATAGGAAGAAATGTAACTGGGCTGCTTGTTGGAGCTTTTTGAACTTTCGTACAATGAAATGACACTATTTTACTTATATGTCTTCCAATGTTGTCATCAGTTTCTATGGTACAGACCAGTGATGTTGTAGCAGAGATGAAACCATATGAAACCCAAAAGCAAACATTTATTATATTGCAGTTTACCAATTCATGGTATGGTGGCTGCATTTGTTTACTTTTTTAGGCTTTCCTTCTGTTATTTTCACCTGGTGATCCAGCCAGTAAGTCTATTGTTTTTCAGCAGAAAGGGCTCTCCTGCATCAGTCAAGAGTGTTGAGACAAACCATTTACCACTGACAGGTGTGCTTACACTGATCAGCTTTTATTCATTTATGTAAAACTTTAATCCCAAAAGGGGGGGGGGGAAATGCTGTAACTGTGTATAAAGTGTTAGCTGGAGTTTGGCTTCAGTTTGTTAGTGTATCTAAATCTGCTAGTACATATAACAATCCCTTCTCCCTAAGCCGACAATGCTGTTGTCCATAGGTGCCCGCTGTGCTCCTTCAGGAGATGTGCTGCTGGTCAGTTCACCAGGTGAAAACAAAGGCAAGAAAGCTAAAACTGAGAAAATGGATGCAGCCACCAGGTCTAATGATTGGTAAGCTGGAATACATGATGGTTTATAATAGCACTGTCATTGCTGCCACAGACTGATAATGCCGGCATTGGACACTGATTTGTAGACAACAATACGAGTCGCTGGTGATTTATCGCTAAGAAGCAATGTGGAGCTGCCACAAGCTAAAACCAATGCTTGGTTGAGTTGTGCTTTTACTGCTCCACATTGAGCTACAAAAGAAGCAGATGTGATGTACACATGCCAACCCCCCCCCCCCCCAATGGGGCTACTCTGCAGCTGCCCCTTAAATGTGGTTGCGGGGTGGTGGTGGGTGCCTTTAGTAAAGCAGATGCGGATAAGGTGACATAACAGCTCCCTAATGCCTGTCGAACACATTCTGAAAAGCAATGCACGGCAAATTGCTCTTCAGAGGGTGAAGGCAGTGTAAACTTGTCGAAAGTTACAATCAGAATTTCAGAAGTAATGTTCATCAATGGCAGGAAGGATATTGAGGATATTGTTTCTCTTTGTCATTGTTTTGTGATTGAGTTACTGCTACTAGACAGTACAGCCAGGATCTTTGAGGTTTATTGGCTGATACTGCAGGAACCAGACACACCATCCATTCTGGTCAGAGGCCAATGAAGAAGCAGCACACTGATGAGACATCACTTTGCTCATTCTGCTCTCCCCTCCTATCAGCATGTTCCCAGTCAGCACCGCAGCAGGACCTGATTGGCTTCAAGTACTGCCCCTCCCTCTTCTAGTCTGTGTGCTAATGTATCCTGGATGGCAGGTGTCCCATATCAAGGCAATATCATACATTTGTAGGGTCATAGATGCTTTTTCCAGCTATGTGTAGTAATTATGACCCAAGTCTCCAGAGTTTAATGCTTTACATGTTACCAAACCCACAACAGTAAAATCAGTCTGTATATGCAGTAAAGCATGCTTGTTATACTCACTGGGGAACCTAAGGCGTTAATCCTCTAAATTGCATAAAAAGGATGTTTGATCCTGTCTTCTCTGATCCTCCCCTTCTTCCAGAGCCCCAAATCCACCTGCTGATAGAGCACAGCCTTGGGGACAAGTTGCACATGCTCAATTTGGTGTGTATTACTTGTTTTTTTTTTTCTTTTTTTTTTTCTTGGGAGAGTGCATGTGATCAGCAGAGGGCCAATCAGCACTGTCCAAACAGAGGTCAGGGGCTTTTGCATCCTCCTAGAGCAGAAAGAAAACTCTTCCTACAAGCTTTAACCAGTGCTCTACTGAAGTCACACAACTTCTCTAACTGCTGATGAGAAAAGGTATTTAGCAGTTTATATTTACTAAAATAATTGCATTTCCATGTTGTGTGTACTGTGAGAGACCAGATATAGTGAATGCAGGGTCCTGGGTTTAGTAACACTTTAAATAAACACTAGTTTGCTCAGTTTAGTGTGTATTGCTAAAAAGGTTTTTTCTTTCTTGGGAGAATGCATGTGATCAGCACTGTCGAGACAGAGGTCAGGGGGTTCTGCATCCTCCTACAGCAGAGTGAAAACTCCTCCTACAAGCTATAACCAGTGCTCGATTGGACACTGATAGAAGTCACAAGACTGCTCTAAGTGCTGATGAGAAAATGTATTTAGCAGTTTATATCTACTAAAATATATCTACTAAAATAATTGCACTTCCACGTTCTGCAATTCCTTCTCAGAGGACAAGTGTAGCGCTATCAAGCTCCACTCTACATGTTTCGTTGTATGACGTCATCAGGAGTGTCTAAAATTATTTACTAAAATAATTGCATTTCCATGTTCTGTGTACTATGGGAGACCAGATATACTGAATGCAGGGTCCTGGGTTTAGTAACACTTTAAATCCACTTTGTGTGCACCAAATGTCTTTACAAACCTAGATATTACCTTGTAAAAGCAGTGAGAACATCATCATTGTGCTGGACATAACCTGTACAGAGAATGAAGCTGTGGGAGGGGCCCTGTAGGCCCCACCTACTAAAGGCTGCCTGTAGAAAACTACAGGAGGGGTGGAGACAAGACCACAAGGAGAGAGAGCAGCAGTGACCGCGGTCTTTATCTCCTAGATTGTAAGCTCGAAAGAGCAGGGCCCTCAATCCCCTCATGTTTTGCATTGTATTGTTGTTGTTCTGTCACATGTTCTGTCCCCCTTTGTAATGTACAGCGCTGAGCGAACTATTGGCGCTTTATAAATACTGTATAATAATAATAATTATAGGAAGTTCCTACACAGATCTGGAAGTAATACACAAAGCACACCAAGATTCTAATAAAAATGCTCAGGATTCTTGTATTAGACAATCTTTGCGTATTCTGGAGATCTTTGTCTATATTAGTAATCTGCGTTCCTCAGGAAGATGTCC